GATTTAAAAATTTTTTCAAAAAAAAAAAAAAAATTAAAATCCGGCCCGGACCGGGCCCGAATCGGCCGGGCCGGTTCACCATATGGAAGGCCCGGGCCCGGAACCGGGAACCACCGGGCCAGTTCGACCCGAACCGCCGGTGGACCGGGCCACCGGGTCGGGCCGGTTGCTACAGTGGCCGGGCCGGTTCCGGGTCGGGCCGCCCGGCCCGAGTCCAGGCCTATGCACACGTGATGAGCGGCCTGATCTTCTCACTGAATGCTTTATATAGGATGATTTTAGTATGGTGGCTGATTGCTTTTTATAGGATGATTTTATTATGGTGGTCTCTTTTCCATATAGTATTACAAGATAACTTTTTGGCAAATAGAAAGTTCGATTGACCATGATTGGTCTGCCCTAGGCATGTACTGGGCCGGTTCGGACCGCTATTGTGCGGCACTGGCCAGGCCAGCCCGACTAGGACTGGCACTTGGGGCCCGAACCGGGGTTAGGGGTTGGGGGGGTTGGGGTGGGCTATGTGATGGTTATTTGGTGGCCGGTCCGGCCGGTTCGAATGGATTGCCAGGTGTGTGGGGCTGGGTGGTTTGGGGGTGGGTAGGAATAAATCACAAAAACCATTTTTTTTTTTAAAAACAAACCTAGACCCGACCCGGTCCTAACCTAGGCCGGTATCGGGCCAATGACCCTAGTCCCGGCTCAGGGCCTGGCCTGGGCCTGGTCCACCCCTAGTTTGCCCTGAATTATGAAAAACTAGATCTACTAATACTTTTCTGAGGGTTATGCTTAGGGATAGATCGCGCTAGGGGTGGACTCGGGCCGGGCGGCCCGACCCGGAATCGGCCAGGCCCGGTTACTGTTTGGCCCGGGGCCCGGTGGGTCCATCGGTTCGGTTTGGCCCGACCTGGGTGATGGGCGGTCCGGGCTCGGGCCCTGCTTTAGGTGAACCGGCCCGGCCGGTTCGGGCCCGGTCCGGGCTGGATTTTAAATTTTTGTTTTTTTTTTTTGAATTTTTTTTAAGTTTTGGGTTGGATTAGGTATTTTGGGCCATTTGAGGTGGTTTGGGGTTGAGGGGGAGGGGTAGGGGGTTAAATAGGAGAAAAAAAAATGGACCGGTTTGGCCCGGCCCGGTTTGGCCTGGAACCGGCCACCGGCGGTTCGGGCTCGGGCCCCAGTTTTCTGGCCCGAGGCCCGGATGGGCCCGAACCGGCCCGAGTCCAGCCATAGATCGGGCTCAGGTTGGGCTGGGCCCCGGGACAAGATTGGGCGGCACTGGAGATTTGGGCTAAAGGTCTGGTATCGGATCGGGTTTGAACCGGTATCAGGCCGTTTTTTTTTTTAAAAGTCTTTTTTAATTTATTCCTACCCCCACCCTCCACCTCAAATCTTGCCAAAACACCCAGCCCAACCCACCTAGCAGCTGCCCAATGCCAAAAAACAAACAAAAATATTTTGGCCCGAATCGGTCCCGGACCCGGCCGGTCCACTAAAATAAGGCCCCGAAGCTCGCCGCCCCATTTGATTCCCGGTTTGGGTCCTCACTGTCGGTTCCGGTACCGCCGGCCCTAGTTTGCCCTGAATTCTGAAAAACTAGATCTACTATTACTTTTCTGAGGGTTATGCTTAGGGATGGATCGGGCTCAGGTCGGGCTGGGCCCCAGGACAAGATTGGGCGGGACTGGAGATTTGGGCTGAAGGTCCGGTATCGGACAGGGTTTGAACCGGGATCAGGTCGTTTTTTTTTGTTTTTAAATTAGTCTTTTTTAATTTATTCCTACCCCCACCCTCCACCTCAAATCTTGCCAAAACACCCAGCCCAACCCACCTAGCAGTTGCCCAATGCCAAAAAACAAAAAAATATATTTTGGCCCGGATCGGTCCCGGACCCGGCCGGTCCACTAAAATAAGGCCCCGAAGCTCGCCGCCCCATTTGATTCCCGGTTCGGGTCCTCACTACCGGTTCCGGTACCGTCGGCCGGGTCGTGCCGGACCGAGTCCTAGACTGGGGCGACCTGTCCCAGTCCATCCCTAGTTATGTTTATTATACATATCAAATTGAATGGTATGTCAAAATGTTCCCTGCAAGATTAGACCAGACAAGATATTGTTTTAAGGGCTATCATTAGAGTGTAACTGAAGCAAGGCTGTGTATTTCTTTCCTCGCATGTCTTTTGTACTTTCTTGTATTGTATGTGTATATTTCATAATGAATAGTTGTCTACTCCCTTTGTTCCAAATTGAGGTGTAAAAGTTGACCGACACGAAAATTAAGAAAGCTTATAGATTTATATTTAGGTTCCTATTTTACCCTTGCCTCATACTATCATTCGTTTCTTTTTAATCGCAACATGTTGAATTTTACACTATTCACAGACTCTACTTTGACTACATTTTACACTATTATTTTATGATAATTATTTTTTTAAAAAATATTGTTCAATTCATCTCATTACAAATTTTCAAAAAGTGATTTTTTATTTATTTTTTAAAAATAGAGAATAAGATATATTTACGGTCAAAGATGTGTGTTTGTAAATGTGAAATGTTGACCGTTACGTCTAAAAAAGAACGAAGCAAGTAAAACAAAAGGAGAAATTGAAAAAGTGGAAAAGTAAACTCAAAAAGCACTTTACGGTGATGTTGTGCGCAACATTAGAAAGGCTTACAAGAAAGTACAAAAGCTACAGTGCATTACATGTCTAATTCAACCTTTTAATTCATTCGTAAAGCAATAATAGTAAGGGTATATAAGTATCTTATTCGTACCAAAAATAGAAAGTGGAAAATCATTTTGGGACAATCAAAATAGGAAATTTTGCAAAACAAATTGAGACAGAAGTAGTATTTTTTTAATCTTCTTGTAATTGCATGTCACTAAAGAGTACACATGTCTGATCTTTGACGTTACCATTTAGGCTTGAGAATTAGTACCGTAAAATTGAGACAATTCATCCGAACATGCTATCACAGGGGAAAAAATAGATGTCTACAAACGTGTTTAAAATTGTGTGGGTATAAAAAATGTATCAATAGTTTTTTTATATCTTTGTAGATAACTAGTACATGTATTTGTAAAAAATGGAAAAGATATTTGGGAAATATTTTCTCGTCCCGTCTCTGATTACAATCTGTAGCCCTGCATATATACAAATGCACGCACCGAGTACTCCAACACACGTACATGAGATGCGTGACTTTGGGAAAAAGAAAAGGAAAGGAATTAAAGATACAATAATTCCTATTCTATTACTACTACTACGTACATAGCTAAAAATGTTACACAAATAAATTATGTACTTGGAATAATTAAGAATAATAATGTGGCTAACACCCCCCTCAAGATGGAGCATGAGGGTCACAAATGCCCATCTTGCCAAGTAAGTAGGTGAATTGTTGAGCGCCAAGGGCTTTAGTGAGTAAGTCCGCATGTTGTTCAGTAGTAGGTGTGTAACTTGGGGTGACAATTCCGGCTTGAATATGATCGCGTATAAAGTGACAATCCAGCTCGATATGCTTGGTCCGCTCATGGTAGACCGGATTTGATGCAATGTGAAGTGCGGCCTGATTGTCACAGTAGAGGCGAGCCGGGGCGGACTGTGTGACTCCTAGTGAGTGAAGAAGATTTCTGAGCCAAATAAGTTCACACGTTAATGATGCCATGGACCTATATTCAGCCTCCGCAGAAGAGCGGGAAACAGTGGCCTGTTTCTTGGTACGCCATGAAACTGGTGAATGGCCTAGTGTCACAAAGTATCTAGTAACTGATCGACGTGTGACCGGGCAGCTAGCCCAGTCGGCATCACAATAACCTGTGAGTGAGAGAGGCGAATCCGATCTCAACAAAATACCCTGTCCAAGTCATGATTTAAGATATCTGAGCACCTGAAGTATGGCCTCCCAATGTGCTATCCTCGGACGTTGCATGAATTGTGATAATGCACAGAATAGTTGATGTCCGGCCTGGTCAGAGTCAGATAAATGAGTTTTCCCACAAGTCTCCAATAGCGCTCAGGATCAGCAAAATAAGGACTAGAATCGGATTGCAAGTGATGATTTTGCACCATAGGAAACGTAACCGGTTTGCATCCGGACAGCCCTGTCTCAGCCAGAATGTCAAGTACATATTTTCGTTGACAAAGGAAAATTCCCGTTGGATTTCTTGCTACCTCAATGCCAAGAAAATATTTCATGACCCCTATAATCCTTAACAGGATAAGTAGTAGCCAGAAATGACTTAAATTGCTCAATCATTCCACGATAATTGCCGGTTATTAGTAAGTCGTCAACATATATACTTGGCTCTGATACCATGTAAAAAATGGAAAAGATATTTGGGAAATATTTTCTCGTCCCGTCTCTGATTACAATCTGTAGCCCTCCATATATACAAATGCACGCACCGAGTACTCCAACACACGTACATGAGATGCGTGACTTTGGGAAAAAGAAAAGGAAAGGAAATAAAGATACAATAATTCCTATTCTAATACTACTACTACGTACATAGCTAAAAACGTTACACAAATAAATTATGTACTTAGAATAATTAAGAATAATAACGTGGCTAACAGTATTGAGGCATATTCAGGTCAGTTCGGACTGACGGAAACTACCGTCCGGCAAGCCTATCTGAGGGCCTTCTAGGTTAAAGTAATTGATGAAATTTTGTAAACATGATTTTCATAAAGTGTAGAACATTCACACAAAATTTCAGCTTAAAATTTGATCGGGAATTAAGTTAAATAAATTGTCGAAAAACGTTGAGCTTTTATGCATATTTTCACCTTAAGAGTCAATAATTTATTTCACTAATTTTGAATTATAGTTGAAATTTTTTGTGTAGATAATTATTTAAAAGAACGTTGTCACACAACTTCATCAAAAAGTTTCACGGAGAAGTAGCTCAAATGGCGTGAACCGGACGGCGGTTCGATGTGTCCGGATTGAGAGGAACATTATTCTACATGTATTTTACCTCCTCTTACAACAAATTCCATTCACAAACGTAACGGTTCCTTTCCTTAATTTGCTCGCTCCCCTTGTCTCACCAACCAACCGTTTGCTCTGTGGAGCAAAAGAAATGGTGAGGAAATTTTGAATTGCAGGCGGACGCTGCTACAATGGAGCACCGGAGGAGGTTGACGATGAACTGGGACGATGACGACGACAACTTCTTGGAGCCAGAAGACTTGGGGTCATCGGGATCGGACGACGAGGGGCGCGCCTCGTTCAGCTCCGCCGTCTCCTCGGCCACATCTTTCCCCTCTGCCCAGCAGGCAGATTATGAGCTATGGACGGGGGAGCCAGGGGACGTCAAGGAGCGCCGGCGTCGCCTCCTTCAGTGTATGGGGCTGTTGAGCAACAAGGGCCTCCCCGAGATTGATGGAAGTGCCCAGAAGGTGGCGGCGGAGGAACCAGAAGCGGCAGAACGCCGTCCCCGCCGGGGCATTAATGTTCTGATTCGCTCAAGCTCCGCTGGGGATATGGCAGCGGCAGGATGTTTATCTACCAAAAGGAAAGAGGAGTTAATTGGGTCCACCCCAAAACAGCATCTCACCAGAACGCTGTCCAACACGTCGTCGCCACCGCCTGTCGGCCAGCGCGGTCCAGCGGGTGTGGGCAATGATCCCATCATAAGATCTGCCGGGGAGGAGGAATTCGGCGGATTCTGCTATCTTCCTCCTCCCGGTATGATGCGACGCAGAGCATCGTCGTCGTCATGCTATTATGAGGACGGTGGTAGAAAACTAGAAAGGCACATAAATTCGTCGTCGTCGTATCTGAGGAGGAGCGTGAGGTACAGCAAGCGAAGAGGGGTTGCGATTTTGAGGAACATAAAGGGGGTGGTCGCACATTCCAAGAGCGGCGGCGAACCCAAACCCAAACTGATGAACCAGAACAGCTCCTCCTCCGCGTCGTCTCAATGGATCAAGGTCCGGCAGCACGGGAAGGCATACAAGGAATTCACAGGGTTGCACTTGTGTCAACAAATCCACGCGCATCAGGGCTCGATTTGGAGCATCAAGTTCAGCTCGGATGCCCATCACTTGGCAAGTGCCGGACAGGATACAGTGATTCATATATGGGAGGTTCAAGAATGTGATGTTGGCGAGGACGATTTGACGATTATGACGAGCTCCACACCACTTCATCCTTCCTCTGCGTCTCCCGTTCATCCCATGGCTAATTGCAGTCCGGAGAATGCTTTAGCGTATGGGGATGATGAAGGTCCTAGGATCATATCCGGGAGATCGAAGAAGAAGAAGAAGAAGAAGGATAGTAAATCTATTCCGGACTATGTTATGGTTCCAGAAACTGTGTTTGCTCTTTCAGAGAAACCACTCTGCACTCTCGCAGGCCATGAGGATGCTGTTTTGGATCTTTCTTGGTCAAAATCTCAGGTCATTTTAATTTGCTTCCCAACTCATTCCTAATCATATACTACTATATGTATTATGTACTTCTAATATCCACTTTCATAATTGCCCATCACCATTTCAAATTCTTTTTCAATTTTGATTTCATGTAGAATATGAAATGAAATGAACTGAGATTGAACATATCCAATAGATTCAACCAATTTCAGTGTTATTAAATAAGCTCTAGTATTCTCTCCCATCTAATACCAAGCATGAATTTCTGTTCTGGCAAACATATGAATTTCGGTGCTGCACTAGGCTTCCCTTTTTCTTTTCTTACTGCCATGTTGCTACGTTTGTCATTTTGGCACTTATGCCTTCTTGTTACCATGCTGCTTTCACTGTCATAAGAAACATGATTAGGGATTTTGACAAGTAATTCCGATTACTTGATTTACTTCAGTATGTTGCATGATACCAGTATATGTGTTTGTAGATGCGGCTTCTTTCCTCTTCAATGGACAAAACTGTTAGACTATGGGACGTGGAAACTCGGAGCTGTTTGAAAAAGTTTGTACACAATGATTATGGTACGTACAATGATTACGTATATACTTACATAGTTGACAAATGACAAAACACTAGCCAAGTATCTAGCTGGTACACATACTTGCATGCAGGTAATTAAGCAAGTGCATTCAATTAGTTTAGTTTACAACTTTAAATAATAATTGCTCTTAATAGGAGTAAAACACAGGGTTTTTCTCTAAATAGGAGAAAACATTGATATTCTACACCTAACACTTACCCTTATTCTAGTTAATTAAATAAATTGTCCATAGTTCCCTTGGTGGCGGGTCAGCCCAACGATGGTGGTGGCTGCGGAGCTCCGGCGACAGCCGGCGGAGTAAATCTGAATTTGTTCTGTGATCGTCGGAGCTCTAACAGCTGACAATAGACAACATCGATCGGTGCAATTCTGGATTTTTTTGGAGAGTTGTCGGAGCTAAGTCGGCGGTACTGTAGCAATGGGGGGTGGGCAATGGCAATAGCTGCAGGGGTATTGTTGTCCAACACACACGAAAAAAAGACTTGTTTTTAAATGTTGAACAATTACTCTTATTTTTTTTTTACCTATTATCTTATTTTATTAGGAGTATATATATTGAGAACTACTCAACTTTAGAACATAGAAGGGGGCATAATCCAAAACTATATAGCCTAGCTAAGTCTTAAAAAAATGGTACGTGATGGAGTTTAATCCAACTACAAGAGATAAATCTACCAAAAATATGAAAAATATGGGCAACGTAAGGTAGTGTTTATTATTAGTCCGGAGAACCAATTGACCGATCCCTCCATAGGGAATTTACAAGAAGTATTTATAGACTTAGGAGCTAGTATTTCAGGAGGAAACTGATACAATAAATGCTATTTAGTTATATTCTAGTCGAATAAGTCTCATGTAACATCTTGGACAGTTGGACGTTGTGCAATGATTCTCTCCTTAAAGTCCACGTTCTTCCGTTGAGTCCTGCCTGTTGCCAAATAGCTATGCTCAAATGATAGTCTGCCACGTAAGCCCTAGGAATATCACAGCCTCACTAGAACTCCGCCCTGGCTTGAGGTCTGCTGTCCAGCCCGGCCTGGTTGTGGGTTCCTATCGTGGGTCTGATTCCTGTTTTGGCCCAGCGACTTATTTAATATTAATCCCGATTAGGCCGGGTTTGATTCCGTTTATGGGCTAATCCTGTTAATTAGGCTAATCTTGTAGAAGCTGATCCCGTTTATGGGCTGAATTACGTAATTGGGCCATGGTCCAAGTCCATGATACCATCGGTACGTATTAGTCGATCAAAATCGATCTATCGATCGATCTGGATATAATGTTCAATTGGAGTTAATGTTTTGAATATGTCAATCGATCATTAAATATTTGTTAGCTAGATACAGTATTAAATAAATAAAATTAACAAAACACTTGGTGTATACTTTTTTGTACACACTATTTTACATTATTTTTACACACGTCTTGTGAACAATTATTTTTAGTATGTGAATAGCCTGTTCACAAAATAAGTCATGTTTTGTCTGTGAACAGACTATTCAGAGACAAAGACAAAAAGCATGACAAATAATTTTTTTCGACCGATTCCAACCTGAAGATTTCGGGTTTGGAACAGAACTGAAATCCTTAGAAACATTGAACTGAAGACTGAACCAAATGTAACCGGGGTGGCTGGGTCAACCGGCCAAGTGTAGTTAATTGGGTTCAGTTTTATACTACATCCATCTCAAATTGTTTGTAAAGTTAGTTTTTTATCAAAATAAATAGTTTCATTTTATTCACATTAGGATATCAATTTTTTATTATATTCCGATTTTGATTTTGCAATTCTGTATAAATTTGAATGTAGTTTCTGAATATCTAAATTTTAATTGTTATAAATTGACCAATGTTATTTGTGAGCCCTAACTACTTAATTAACTATCTAGCTGATTTGAATCAGCACGCACGTATGGATAGTTTTAATATAAATTAATCTGAAATGAAATGCAATTTAATGAATTAATTAATTAATCAAGGTTACGTTGCATGAATATGATGGAATGCGAGCAGTAACATGCGTCCAGTTCAATCCCGTAGATGATGATTACTTCATCAGCGGCTGTCTAGACTCAAAGCTGAGGATTTGGAACATAACGGAACGCAGAGTTGTGGACTGGACTCATCACAAAGATCAAATGCTTACTGCCACTGCCTACACTCCCGATGGAAACGTACGTACGTAACGCCCTACCTACTTCATTTTTTCCTTTTTCATATCAAAGTTTAAGACTTTATTAATTAAGCTACATAATTCGAATACCTTTTGGTCTAATACATCAGTGTAATAGTCTCGGGGAATGGGGATGTCACAGATTCAAATCATATTCTAGTTCAAAATCTAGAACTTAACATCCATAAACATATAATATAATAGGTTAGAAAACTTTGCAAAAAAACCTACTATATATAATTCACACTTTCTTAATCTCAACTACAAGGGCTAGCAATTATAGGGTGTGTTTCGAAAATTAAAGAAAAATTAATTAATAAATAAAATAGCCAAAGAAAACAGAAATGACATGAAAAAGAAAAGTCGGAGCTCGTGTTACGCACGATGTTCTTAAAACGTATTTGTTGCCTCCCACGGTGCTAGGAGCGTTGCAACGACCGTTTCCCAGGATACGGTGGCTAAAAAACGATCGTTTGAGCACACAAACAAAAGTTCCAGCGAACGAGAACAGAGTATGAACACTCGGGAATTTTCGGAGAGTTGGAGGTGAATTTAGCTCAAAAACTACGTGCTAACTGTGTTGTGAGATGTGTTGTTGCAAAGCACCTGAGAACCGTTCAGGTGCGCGACCAGAACACTCCCAGAACTGCGTGACCAGATGACCCCCCAGAGGCGTGACCAGAACACCTTACGGCGTGTTCGCAGGTCTCCCGCGCACGTAAGTCGCAGTTTTTCTTCTCCGTTTTCGAGATTTGATTTGCACCCTCCCTGCGCGCAAAGAGAGCCTTTTACTTAGGAATCTTAATTCATTCAAAAAGGGTTCCCTTTATAAGAGGGTGAAAATCCCTTGGATTTTCCGGTGTGAGATAAATCACACTAGAAACTCATCTTTTTCCCAGTTTTTCCATTTCAACGAGTGAACTTCGAGAATCAATTTCTCATTCACCCGTTATCCGTTTTGAGCGTACCACATATCGAATTGTTGCTTAACAAGGATAATCTGAAATCACTTTGACCCGACCAAAATCGGAAGTAGACCACACTCAAAACATTACCCCAAAATTACCATTTAATACAGTTTTAAGGCATTTTTCCAACAGTATTTACAGGGCCGGTGGGTCATTGTTTTTTATTACTCGATCAGCTAATAACGAAGTATATTATTACTACTATTGCCCGTGGCAGAGTCAGAATTCAGAAATGTAGTGTTAGAGGGACTAGGCTTCAAAAACTTATATTACAACGCCAAAACTTAAAGCATAACATATTTTTTTGACAATCATAAATATTTATACATATACGTAGTAATTTTTTTCCTTAGAAGGCCCAAATCAGATCCCCTCTAGGCTCCGACGGGCCCTCCCTGTCTCCACAACCAACTAAATAGTATCATCGTCGTCGTCATCATTTTTATTACTCCCTCCGTCCCCGAAAGAAGTTCTCATTTGACTTTCACACACTTTTATGCAAGTAAACTTACCAGGGGTAAATTTTACTGTTTCGACACTGTTTGGCACTGTTTGACACTGTTTTGCACTGTTTGACACTGTTTTGATGTAGTTAAATTTCCGTTTAAGGAAATGAGAACTTAAATTAGGGACATCCAAATAAGGAAAGTGAGAACTTCTTTCGGAGACGTAGGGAGTATTATTACTAGTTTTACTACGCGCGATGCGCGAGAGAAAAATGCCCAATGCTATTCATGACAAGGCCGGTCCTAGGGGAGGGTAGCAAGGGCGATTGCTTTAGGCCCAAAAATATAGAAGGAAAATTAGGTCCAATTTTTTTTCTTTATACATAATGTCAGTAGACTTTTTTTTAATGCTTTTAAATTCAATTAATTAGGCCTAATGGTTAATTTATGTTGATGATTTGAAAATATGAAAACATAAGTAAAAACTTTTGATCGGAGTCGCTCAAACAAGTTTACAAAAGAATATACATTTAATTTTAATTTTTAATTAAGTCAAGCTAGTTGTAGATCATCACATTTGTTGATGAATCAATAAATCGCATGTCTATTCACATCTTTATAGCTCTAAGGTTTTTTTTCCTTTTAATTACAAATTATCAATTTATACTATTCTCTGGCCAACCTGTGCCTCCCAATTCCCAAACCCCATCCCATTTATCTGGAGTTTTTTCCACTTTTAGTCCTCTGACTATTATGTCATTGACACTTTTGGTACTCAACTTTGATTTTTTTTCATTTTTAGTCCTTGACTATTGCGTTAGAGACACTTTTGGTAACCGTCTTTGAAAATTTCCACATTTAGTCCTTCAACTTTTTTAAAAGTGACACTTTTGGTCCTTCAACTATTATAATAGTGACATTTTTAGTGCTTCACTTATTGTGTCAAAATCACAATGAGGGGACTAAAAGTGTCAATTTTACAATACTCAGGGACTAAATGTGGGAAACCTTGTAGTCGGGGATTAAAAGTGTCTCTAGCACAATGGTCAAGGACTAAAATTGAAAAAATGAGAAGTCGAGTACCAAAAGTGTCATTGACATAATAGTCGGGGACCAAAAGTGGCAAAAACTCCATTTATCTGCGATCGACTATGTCTCAAAAAGCTTAATGGTAGCAATTTTTAGCATTGAGTATTGAAATCTTGAAAAAAGATTGATTATAAAGCAAATATTGATCAATAATTGTTCTGCAATAAATGTTCTTCAGTAATTTTTGTTTGTGATACTTGAATTGTTACTTTTGCCCAACTATGTAATTTAAATATTATTCTGTAATAAAGAAACTTTCATCTTTATTTTACACGTAGTAATTTTTATGAGATAGTTTTATTATAATCCTTATTTTTAGAAAATATAATTCTACTATCAATCTTGAAAATAAGCCCAACATGGTATATCATTCATAGGCCCAAAATTGAAGTAGACAAGACCATCCCTGATTCCGAAAGGATTAATCGAGTGAAACACCATTGGTTAGCATAATCGATATGTTTAAAATTACAAACAAACTTCATACATAATATTTTTTCACTATCAGAATGAGTTGTTCCATATGCATAGAGAAATGAGTTGGTGTAATAATAGTATTTACACCGTTGATATTACCAAATGATAGTTTTGCATAAGATATAAGGTAACGAGCTGAAAAAAATTAAAACAAAAACTTCAATGAAAATAATTAATGGAAATCAAAGCATCAAGTGCATGTTATAATACAAATAATAACGCCACATAAGCATGCATGTTGGAATTTGTAAAGTCAATAGTTAACTTTAACGGAGGTAAGGAGAAGTAATAGATTTAATGATAAATCGTACAATGAATCAAACAAATTGTACAAGTGCGTATTGCTTTAGTTTACACCAACATTTTTTCATTCCTAAAATGCCCTAATCATCATTGGTGTTTATAAGTTTTTATTTTAAGATTACTTACGCTTTAAATTTGTGCTAATTTTTTTTATTTCAATGTAATCGTATATATATCAAGGGCGCCATGATCGGTTCGCATAGAGGTAGCTGTCGTTATTACAATACCACAGGTACGTATAAGTGTGAAGTTAATTATCAAACTACATGCATATTCAATTCCACTATTATGCATTTATGCTAGCACTACTCTTTAACTTCTAACATTATGTTGGATGACATTAGATTGCAAACTAGAGCAAAAAGATCAATTTGATACTCAAAGCAGGAAAAAGTCCCAAATAAGAAAGGTCACAGGTTTTCAGGTAGTCTCTCAATGTACAGTAACTCATCCCATATACTCCCTACACTAAAAATAATTATGAGATTGACACGAGTTTGACATGGATTGACTGATGATTCATGCCAAATAGATCGTGGCAAAACGTTTTTGGCATGAATTTGGCATATCCTTGTCAAATCTTCTACGATTTTTTTGTAGTGCTAGTCTCTCTGTCCCATAACATTTGGCCAAATTGACTGTTTTTGTAAATTGTAATAAACTTTGAACAATAATTCTAATTGTTATATTTATGTGACATTTATTATTTTTATACTTTTATGAAAGTGTTTTGAACAAATAATATTTTCATATAATTTTCTTATTTTAAATAACTTTGTATACAAAAAAGCATTAGTCAAATCTGTCCATTATTGATCAAGAAAGCCAAAATGACAAAGTTTTGTGAGATGGAATGAGTATAATATATATATATATATATATATATATATATATATATATATATATATATGGTTAAGATCGGATGCAAAGTGTTCTTCCGATACAAAATGCAAATTCATCTCATCCGTCCAATATTAGAAAATCAAGGAAGATTTTTTTTAGCACTAATATCCATCCGTATTAGTGGGGGAGATTTTATTCTCTTACCACTAAATACGGAGCATTAGTTATGGAAGGTTTTTTCTCATCTTGACCATTATTATCTCATTAATATGGATGGCTAGAATTAGTTTGCACTTTGTAAATTAGGACCAGTTTGTATTTGATCTATATATATACACATTATTCTATTTATGAGAATTGAATTTCTTTTTACAGTACTCGCCAAGGAATACCTCTGAGGTGCTCATTTCCACCGCTGATTCGAGTATTCGTATCCATGATGGATCAACCTTTACACATAAATTCAAAGGTACATATTTTCACATCAACGGCACCACGTTTTTCTCTTTAAGGGCAACACATTTTACATTTTAAACCGATCTCTTCCGTGTTTTAGAACATTGGTGAAAATTAGTTCTTACTTCACCCGTCTCCCTATAATAGTCCAATTTTTTCATTTTTGGATGTCACTATTATTGTCTGATACCTTATTTGGAAAGTAAAAAATAAATTTAATGAGGGAGTAATAGAGATCTACTTTAGTATGATTCGGTTTTTACTTTTTGATTGGTTACTTTATCAAAAAAAACACTTTTGTCTTAGTTGGCGTGTCACTCCCTTCCATCTCGATAAAAGGGGACGGATAGATGGAGTACTTTTCATTTTTGTTAATATATGTGTCCAGCAAGAAAAATACTACATAGCACATTTGTCAAAGAGTTTGTCATGAATTTATCTAACAATCGGTGATGTAAAGTACAGGGTTCCACAATACAAGCAGCAGCAACAGCAATATTTCATCAGCTTCATATAGCCCTGACGGAAGATATGTGATAAGCCCGAGCGAAGATTCTCAAGTATACATATGGAAAAGAGAAGACGGCTATAGTTGTGGTGGGCGAAGAAGGGCGGTGACCATTCGCGCTCACGAGAAATTCCCGTGCAAAGACGTCTCGGTTGTCGTGCCATGGCCCGGAAGCTTAAACAACAATGACCCGCCGGTGGTACAGCTGCAGCGGCATTCCAAAAGCAGCAGGAGCTCACGTTTCCTTCCACCAAATGAATCACCATCAACTAGTATATGGGCGGCCTTCATTGGTTCTCCTTTGAGAGATTATGAAGAAGAACGCGGCGGCCGGAGGAGGCATTTGCCGCCGCTGCCCAAGAGAAAGGATGATGAATTTTCATCACTCGACCATCTGCATCCCCTTTCCGCTGCCGCTTCTGTCCGCGACTCGCCGTCTTCCGCCCGATTTGGCGGTGATACCATCCGAGCAACAGCCTGGGGGCTTGTGATCGTTACGGCAAGTTTGGGAGGTGATATCAGGGTTTATCAAAATTTTGGACTGCCTGTCAAATCATCTACTCATCGTCACACTCGTCTCTTCACAGACCTCACCTAATAATGAAAGTGAGTTAGAAATTGTGTGACAAATTTGACTTTTTAGGTTAAATAAATAGATTCATTTTCATTCACTTAGTTGGAAAAAAATCAAATCTTAATTTAATGTAGACTCTCTATAACTAAATTTTAATTGTAAAATTGAATTAATTATCATTAATTTTGTAAAATAATTTGGGAAGTAACATATAGAAATGTTGTTGCATCAAAGATGAAAAAATGTATTTTTGAAAGACATAACTGTAACACTTATCATCTGTGTTACTAGAATCGGACTAGGCCGGGCGGGTCAACACGGAAACTGGTGACCCGGCACCTTACCCGGTCCGGTTATAGACAAACCCATAAATGTGAGTAAACCCGGAAAAAAGTGCTGGCCCGTTCTGACCCAGGCAGCCCAAACCCGAGAACCGGTTATATAACCACGAACCGGTGCAAAATTATACCCCGGAAGAGATTCGATCCTGCGTCTCGCCAACAGAATAACAGCCAGCATTCAACGATATTAATTGTGCCAGTTGACTCAAGTGCTCTTTAGTTGTACTTGTCTGGTTAGCATAAAATTAACTTCTCATGTACTCCGTACATGAAAGCACTTAAAATAATAATTTATACGGAATTACGGAGTATGATTGTTGTTATTTGACTAACCTATTGTGCATATAAATTATCAAATACTCCCTTCGTCCCAGGGAGAAGTTCCCACTTTCCTTTTTTGGTAGTCCCAACAAAAAGTTCCCATTTCCCTAAATGGAAAGTTATCATATATCAAAACAGTGCAAAACAGTGTCAAACAGTGTCGAAACAGTGCCAAACAGTGTCGAAACAGTGCCAAACAGTAAAATTTACCCCTCAGTAACTTTATTTCCTAAATATGTGTGAAAGTCAACCCGGAAACTTCTCCCTGGGACGGAGGGAGTACAAGTAAAGCCTATGATAGAGTTAGTTGGGATTATCTCAGACAGATTATGAGACAAATGAGTTTTTGCGAAAAATGGGTGGAGATAATTATGCTCTGTGTGACTACGGTGACCTATTATGTCCAGTTTGATAGGGAATTTTTGGGGCCGATTCATCCTAAGAGGGGGTTAAGGCAGGGAGATCCGTTATCACGTTACCCGTTTATCTGGTTGCGGAAGGTCTGAGCACTATGTTGAAGCTGGCCGAGAGTAGAGGTAACCTTCATGGGGTTTCGGTTTGCCACGGAGCCCCTCGGATTTCGCATTTATTTTTTGCAGATGACAGTTTTCTATTCTTTAAGGCATCAAGCAATGAGTGTGTTGTAGTAAAGAATGTTCTTTTAAAATATGAGGAGCTGTCAGGTCAGGTGGATAATTTTAATAAATCAACTTTAGCTTTCAGCCAAAATGTGGGAGAAGAATTCAGAGTTTTCTGCAGTAATGAGCTCGGTATTCCAAGGGAGAGTGGACAGAACCTTTATTTGGGGCTACCAGTGCTCATTGGGCGAAATAAGTCGGTAATTCTGGGATACTTAAAGGACTGGATTTTTAACAGAATAAAAAGCTGGAATACTCGGTTTTTATCCCGGGCAGGAAGGGCGGTTGTGTTGAGAAATGTTATTCAGGCAATGCCTACTTATGCCATGAATGTATTCCTTCTGCCAAAAGATCTATGTGATGAAGTGGAAAAATTGATGAATGGATTCTGGTGGAGGGGATCCAAATTTGATCAGAAAGGTTTACGTTGGAGGAAGTGGGAGGCCCTATGTAGGCCAAAAGATGTTGGAGGTCTGGGGTTCAGAAGATTAAGAGCCGAGTGCTACGTGCCATGTATTTCCCTAACTCGTCTTTTTTAGAGGCAAAATTGAGCAATAATCCATCTTTTATCTGGAGGAGTATTTTCGAGACACAGGAGATTATAAAAAATAATACTAGAAGGAGGGTGGGTAATGGTATTGACGTTCAAGTCTGGGCGTGTTGGTCCCGTTTAATATGGTAATCAGTCTAGAGGGGGGGGGGGGGTGAATAGACTGATTGGTTTTTCAAATTTTCTCTAACTCCAAAGTGACTTAACAGAGAAGGTCTGATTCTGGTGACAGAGAAAGGCTGGTTCTGATATCAGAACTGGCCTTGGCAGCGGATTCTGATCTGTCCGGGTAGCCTCAGAAATACTAAGGCAAATGCCTTTCTGATAACTCTGAAAACAAGATCTGCTGAACACAGATTCCAAGTCTTAGAGTTAATCAGTTAATGTCCTAAATGCAGAAATATAAATTGCAGTAAAATAAATGACACCGGATATTTTTATAGTGGTTCAAGGAACAACGCGTTCCTCTAGTCCACTGTTCCACTAGCTTTGAAGTAGATCGGTTACAAAGCTAATCCCAAGCACTTAAGAAGTACTCCTCGTCTTCTTCAGGCCTAGATGCCACCCAGGATGCAATTCCACGTCCCGATGGCTGGTCCTTTAACTCAGCTTCCTGGAAGTATCACCACTTCACTACTGCAGTTACTTGGACGCCCTTCTTTTCAGAAGATCCTTTGAAAAATACAAAGTTTTTCCTCCAACTTGCTTCGTTACAAAAGATGTTTGATGAAGATCTTGAAGTGTTGAAGAACAGGATGAACTTTGCTCGTTGTTGGGGATGAGAGATTTGGAGTTTGAGTCTTCCCAACGTAGGACTTTTCTTGTAGAGTGTTATGAAGGTTGAATCTCAAGAAGTATGTTCAGAGTAATGAATGGAGCAAAAGTTATCTTCCTTGTTCTTCTTTGTGTAGCTTATATACTGAGGTTGTCTGCCCGTTGGAGGAGGAGACAACTGCATTAAATGCGCGTACTGTTGACTTGACCGCCGTTTTGGAAGGTTTCTATTTTTATAATATATCTTCCCGGATTCCTTGGTCAATCATTTGCAATCAATCCTTCAGCGTATCAGGCTCATTTAATGTGCATTAAGTGCTTTCCTTTCATGCACAGTCTTCTAGCCGTTGGATGTTTTTACCCGTTGGATTCATAGCTGTTGGATGTTGCATGAAATCTTCTAAGTGTTAGTCGGGCTCAGATCAGGATCTTCTGATGTGTTGGATTCTGATGACTTTCTGAGTTCTGATGGCTTTCTGAGTTCTGACTGAACTCTAACTCTGACTCTGATAGGTCCGCTGATGAGTACCTCTGATCTGTAATTCTCATCGGTTATCAGATGTCCTAATTTATCAGCAACTCTCATGGTGCAAATCTGATGGACTTCTGATAAGAGAGCTCTGAGGGAGCAGTTCTCATAGAGCAAGTCTGGTCGAGCAATTCTGATGCACTACTGATCTGATCCAAAGCAGAGTAACTCTGATCGTCGACTACACTAATACTTACAATTGAATGTTCTAATACACAAAGTCTAATTGGGGTACTTTAAAATTCTAATCTGATTATCCTAGCATCATCAAAATCTAATTACATTTATTCCTTACAATTTCCCCCTTTTTGATGATGCCAAAACCCTTAAACTATTTCCAGAGAAGTGCCTTTCACCATGAAGGAAAATAAGTAAAAACCTTTCATTTAGAATCTTGGTGGGCACTTGGCATAGGAAAATAGTAAGAGTAAGATACAATCAATCACGCAAAAAGCAAATAAGGATAGAAAGCAATAAATAACACATCATATGATATAGCCATGCAAATTAGAGGCAGAGAGGTTATTTTATTAATCAGAGTTTTACAAATAAGAAATGAAAAAGAGATAAAGTTTAGAAATCTTCCTCTGCAACCTCTGCAAGAACAGCCTCTTCCTTTACCTTGGCTTCTTGAAGCTCAGCATTTACTCTTGCTCTGATTGAAGCAAGGTTCCTAGGAATCATGTATTTCTTCCAGAGTGGAGTAAGCTGGCAATCAAGGTAATACCTTATTGCATCCTTCTCATCCTTCCCAGGCAGAACCCTCATCCTCCACCATTCCTCAGCTTCTTCTATGGATCCTCCATGAGCAATGGTGATGATGCCATTCTCATCTTGGATCAGATTCTCACACTGCAGGGGAGTCATATGCTTTTTCATCTCAGCAAATTGGACTTTGTCTGGTTTAGACAACCCACTGTTCAGCCATTGGTTCAAAGTGAAGGATGGAGAGTTCTTCTTCTTTGAGCGAGGAAGAGGAGGTCTCTGAATGCCAGCAGCTAGCCTCTTTTGCCTTGCTCTTTCAAAGTATCTAGCAGGGTTAATGGCTCTGGAGTTTGGGCCTGCTTCTTCTCTGGGAGGTGGGACAGGTTCTCTGCTATCTTCCCCCTTTTTGGCATCAACAAGATCGCCAAGCAGAAGTCCAATTTTGGAGAATTCTGTTGCCTGATTTTCTTTTACAGTCTCAATAGCCCCTGGGAGAGTCTCAGTCACAGAAGCCAGTCCATCAAGAGTTTCCTTCTGTTTAGCTACGGCAGATTGGATGTCCTTAGAAGTAGCTTCAAGGAGAGTCAGCTTATGATCTCTGTCCTTGCCACTATTTATCAGCTTGATGGAGAACTCCTTAGTGTCTTTGCACATGGCTTCTACACCTTGGATTTCCTCTCTGGCTTTATCAGCAGACCACTGAACATCATCAATAGCAGTAGAGAGCTTTTTGATGGCCTTGTCTTGCTCTTCAAGGACTTTAGTGTGATGATAGAGAACAGAGTTCACACCACTCACTTCCTTAGCAATCTTATTTAGTGTCTCTGCTGTGTCATTCTTGTGCTGTTCAAAAGCCATGGCAATGATGCCTACATTCTTGAGCAGCACATTAATCCCTTCTGCTAGCTTTTCACTATAGGTGGTGAGATGGTTGTCAGTGGTATACACATCATCCAGAATCTTGTTCATACCCTTGACAAGCTGGAGTCCCACGTGCTCTATCTCAGCCATGAAGCGTTGAGGAGCCTGACTGGTGGCTAGAGCTTGATCAGATTTGGGAGGGGATTGAGGGGGAGCCTGAGGGGATGGCTCTGATGATGAAATCTGAAGAGGGGTTTGCTGGGGTGATGATTGTGGTTGAGAGGGTGGTTGTTTTGGAGATGGTGGTGGTGATGGTGAGCGATTGTTGGTTGGAGTGAGTTGTTTGCAAGGGGAGGCAGGTTTGGGTAATGGCTTTTTGGGTGAGGGAGTTGGGGTTTTCTGTGGTGAGGGAGATGGTGTTTTCTTGGGTAAAGGGATTGTGGTTGACTTGGGTGA